CTCCATTGTTTCAGGTCTCCTTCTTGCCTTCACAACGTCATAAAGCTCTTGATTCTTTGTAGCTTTAAATAAATCTGCCCAACACACCCACAGAGAGTGACTTTATCCTGCTCCACACTATTCCTTTTGGGTTCTAACTATACCCTATTCTCCCTTCTGTAGGATGTAGCTTTGGCCCAGCCCTCTGCAGGTGCAGCTGGTTTTAGTTCATCACCACTGGACAGTGATCCAGGGAACACATCCTGTGATTAAACTGTTACACTGTTAATGATGCCTGTAAAATTAATTAAGCTCATGAGTTTAAATTCATTTCCGAGCAGTTGGGATGAATGAAGCAGAACCTTTTGCTTTGCAATCAAGAGCAAAGCTTTCATTCACTTCAGGGTGGCCCAGACAGGATTCTCTGACCTAAAGCTGATAACTGATGCATTTTCCAGGCTAACTAGTGTTGAACCAACCCTCTGGAATGGAAAGTTGTGTAGAAATGCCTTATGGGGTCACTTTTCAGGAAGAAACAGTTGCTTTCAAGAACTTCTAGTTAGTAGGACTTAACCTATTAACCTATTCAAAATTAGGGTGACTTCCAGAAGACAACTGCAGTTCAGGAGTATCCCCCAACTGTATTTTCATAGCAGGTATTCTTCCAGGCTGGACAGGCTGCAGAGTTGGGAGTCATGTCCCTACTTGCTTTATCCCGTTTGGAGTGTGGGACGTGATGTCAGCGAGGAATGGACCAAAGTGTAAAGCCCTGGTGACTCTTCAGAGCTGTGGAGAAGTTTTGTGTGGCCTTTACCTTTTAGATACATTTTATGCAGATGATTTAGACCATACAGTATTTCCCATTTTTATAAATGTATCTGATTTCCTCCCCTCCAAGGAGTACAAGAGGGTGAGAGATACTCCTCAGAAAGGGCAGATAACGTGGGAAGGGCCACATATCAGCTCACCTTGAGCACTGGAGTGACCACAAGTCCAGTTGCCCTGGATCCTTTTGCAGGTTAGTGAGGGCACATAGTTGCTTACAGACAGCATTTTGGGAATTACCAGTGTGTGTTCAATCCCTACAGACTCTCTGTGTTTTTAAGAATGCTGAGGTTCTGGTCATACAGGACTTCAGCACGTCCACAGTCAGTCCTCAGCAAGAGATGTGCAAAAACTCAGAGCTGGACAGTGAGAGGAAGGGTTGTGCAAGGTGCTGTAATGAACACGTGTGATGAATGTGGCAGAGATTTTCTTTTCTTGAGGCTGTTGGATGCAAGTAGGATCCTATAGTTCTTTGTAGACTAGAATTTGTAAGAAACTCCAAGCATAATCATGTTCCTGTTGGAAGTCTGGTTTAAATATAAATTTTCCATGCACAACGGTTGTTTTTATTTCAGTAGGAATACTGTAAGCAAAACTTTTTGTTCTGAACAGAGAAAGGAAAGCTTTCATTTCATTGTATTGGGAATATGCTTGAAGAAAAGAGTCTTTAAATTCATGGTATTTCAGCCTGGCTAAATATGGCTTGTGGTACTGAGGGTTCCACAGCACAGCTTCTCAAACCCTGCACTGGATCAGGCAGCTGGGAGAGCACTGTTGCCCCAAGGATTGCCTGTTAACTCAGCACCTTTGAACCCATTTGATCCCGATAGTAAACGAAGAGGAACATTTGCTTCTATCCATCTGGTTCATCCAGCTTCAGCCAGCACAAGTCTGGTGTTTATGGCCAAATAATTGAGGCAATATTGCCAAATAGTTAGGAAAAATGGGATATACCGCAGTGAATATCAGCTCTGTTTCTGTTTAACGTCTGCCCTTCATCTCATAAAATTTAGGAGTTGCTGTGAAATATAAAATCTTCTCATAGTTGAGGCTTTCTCTGTAGGTGTAGTGGTTTGGTCTTTACCATAGAGTCTTTCTGCTTACAGTTTTCCCATGTGAGGAGTCGTGCTATCCTTTTTTCAGGGGGATACTCTGGAGGAGAATTTCTGAGTGATTTCCCATGAAGTTAATATTAATCTATATAATATATATCTTATACATATCTATGCCATTGCCTTCAACAGTGACAAACCATGAATGAACTGCTCCTCAGGATATGCAAATTGAGCATCTATCTGTAATTGTTAGAGCACCTCACCAGGGAAGGGGCAGGGATTTGAGCTCAACACATCCAGGTGCTTCTGAAGCTTGTAGTGACATTAATCCATTATTACAGGCATCTCAAAAATTCCTTTATCTTGAGCTGTTATCTTAGAGACCAGAGTCCTTCCTGCTGTATAACACTTTCTATTGGATATTAAGGATTTCTATAAAGCCATATTGTTCCATTAAAAGCCTACTTTTTGAGTGGCAGCAAGACTGGAATAAGGAGCTTAAATCCCAGAGAAGTGCAAATGCTTGGATTGTGTTTCCAACAAGCATTTTGAGTTCCATGTTGTGGTCATGAAAATAAAAACCTACCAACATAATGTGTTGGTGTTTTAGCTCAGATTTGAGGTTGGTTTTCATATCAGAACCTTCCACCTACAGATCTGCCATTCAATTCATTTGGGAAGAATTGTCCTTCCCAGGTTGTTTTCCATATTGTGTTAAAAATTCAACCAAATATGATCTATTTGCCTTTCTCCTGCGATCACTTTGCACTTACAAATCTACACAGTGTGTTCAGTCCAACTCTGCAAGAGAGCTCCGTTCTGCTGGAATTCTGTGGATTTTCTGGGTTGGTCTGGCCCATCCACACCGTTTCAGTGGCCCGTGTGTGTGGTGATCCACAGGGGGAGCTCTCAGGGAGAACTGGCCCTGTTTAAAACGTGCTCTTGGGAGCATTTTTCAGGGTGTGGCATTAGTTCATAGCTTCGATTTAATTAGAAAAAGACACACTCACTTCTGATGATAATTTGTTATGATTTGGTATTTCCCATATTAGGGAAAACTTGATGCATTATTGTTTCACTCTTTATGTCTAAATTTTTCCTAAATTGATCAAGTGCTTTTTATGTCAAATACCCCATCTTTATTTTTCTTTTTTATGAGGAGTTTGAGCTGATTTTGGGAAAATGTTTATTTTTTCCCAGTATTTTCTTCAGCCTAGAATTTATTTGTTCACCCAGTTTTTGTCAAAGGTCCTAATTAGATTTCTGTGTCTGGCTTTTAAATCCTTGGAAATTGGAATTTCTTGTATCAACACTGTCATTGCTGTAGTTACAGGTCATGTGCTTTTCTGTTTTCAAACCACACACTGAACTGTGATTATCTGATCTATTCTTGAACTGTTAATAAAAAAAAAGGAGTGAGGTGTCAAAGCTGCTTTAAGAGTAGCCCTGAAATAATCTCTACAGTATTTATAGGGATATAAATAGTTAACTCTATATCTTTTTTTTTTCCCCAAAAAATGTTAATTAATTCTCAAAAGCAAACAACACCCCTTTATAACCAGTGGGATGTGAATGAACATCAGCTGTGCTCTGATTGTAAAAACATGGTCACTCCAGTAGAACAGGATGAAATAAAACATCATGCATTTAAAATACACATTTCTGTCCTAGATGAGAAAATGGGAGTTCAGGGAGTCCCTGGAATCATCCAATCTGCTCAGCGTCACATCAAAGGATGTTGGTTCTTGTTGTAAACCTCCAAAACATGGAATATGAGTCCCAGATAATTTTCCATCGGTGTGGAAGGGCTCTTGCTGTTCTTATTTGGCTTTACTGTGTGTATAGTATCAGTGCCCAGGAGCCTTAGCTTTGATTTGTATATAGTAAATAAAAATAGCTTCTGTTTTTCTGCTCAAAGCCAGGTTGGACGGGGCTCTGAGCAGCCTGGACTGATGGAAAGTGTCCCTGCCCACAGCAGGGGGTTGGAACAAGATGAGCTTTAAGGTCCCTTCCAAACCAAACCATTCTGTGGTTCATACTTCAATCCTTAGGTAGTTCACTTGGATAAAAGCGAAGGTTTCCTTTTACTCAAAAAAAAAAATTTTGTAGGGAGGAATTTTATTTGGATTTTACTTATGCAAAACTGGCAGAAAAAGTCAAATGCTTCAGTAAAATTGACTTTGCTTTGAAGATTCGTGTGCAAATTGTAACATCCTGGTAAAGACAATATGTCTGTGAAAGCTCACCTTGGCTGAAAATGAGTCACAAATAAACTGCCTTGTAAAACATCAAAGGCAATCCAGCTCTGAACAGGGTTTCTCTTTGAGAACAGTTGTGAAGTTCTGTTTCTCTGAGATGCATCTGAGATGTCTTGCACTTGATGGCATGGTGATATTCCCTGCAATTTTCAGTGGTGCTCAGCATTTTTAATACATCTTAATTTATTGACTTCTCAAGTGCACTTTAATAATGATCTTCTAAGACAATTCTGTGTGTTCAGGTAGAAAACAGTCTGTGCAGTACTAAATCTTCAGGAACATTTTTCTTGTTTTGGGGAGGAGTGAGAGAATGGGAATACCAATAATTTGGGGAGAAGACTATTCTGTGTGTTAAGACAGACTTTTCTGCAAGGTGTTCTTGTCTCTTGTGTATATTCTGCTCCTGCAACGGAGCCCCAGCTTATCAAGAATGAGTCTTGAACATGTAACCATACATGGTCTCCTGTAATTTGTAATTTGGTTTGAAAATAAGAAATACAAAGTTCTTCTAAGGATGTAAAGTGTGCAAAGCAGTTATTTAGCCTGGAAAAGCAGCAATCTGAGCTGCCTGCTAAAGAGCTGCTGTGTTCATGCTCTGCTGTCCTCTAGGCAAATGCATGGCCTGTTATTTGACTGATTTATGCAATGAAGTGGCCAGACCAGGGGTTGTTTCAGCAGAGAAGAATCTTAAACACAAAGTCCTTTTAAGGTCCTCAAGACGTGCACTCCAAACAGTAACCAGTTTTTTTAATGTTAGCATTATGCTCGGGGCTTTTGGACCAGCGAAGAAGGGAACCTTTTGCAGAAACTTGTCTCCAGTCACAGGTTTGAACCCAGATGTGTTCACCTGCCTGATTCTGTGCCCACATTGCCTCTTTTCCAGGTCCCTCTGTACAGTCGTGTGCAAGTGGACGTACACGCCAGACAGGGGTTGGGATGACACCTTCTGGAAAATGATTGGTTTGGAAGATTTGGTGAAGGATAAGTATGAAAAAATAGGTATGTCAGGGTGTTGTTTAATGCATATATATATCCATACTAATAAAAAGATATATATATATAGAAAGATATAAGATACAAACATATATATATATGGATGGGGCTTGGAGCAACCTGGTCTGGTGGAAGGTGTCCCTGCCTGTGGCAGGGGGTTGGAATGAGATGATCTTTAAGGTCCCTTCCAACCCAAACCATTCTGGAATTCTATGAATAAAAGGTATATAGATATCAAAAGATGTTTTGCTGTATAATTGTGAACATCAGCAGAAATGTATCTGCACTTGTCATACTTCAGATGGGTTGCTGAGAAGGCTGGATGCCCACAGGGAACAGGCTTCCTAAGTACATTTTTTACTTTGCATTGTCATGAGAAACTGTGTTTACATTTTTTATCTTCTACACTTGGGAGAGGCCTAAAAAGCCTTTTCTGTATTGTTCAGTCTGAAGAATAGAGAAGTAAATAGGAGTCCCAGCAATTGATTCCATGAAGGAAACACTCCATTTGGGTATATTGGATGGCAGGCTACAAAAAAAAGCCATAATACAGTAATTTATAGCTGTTACTGATAGCATGATTTGTGACCTGTAACCATTCTCCCTTATAGTAATTTTCAAAAAAAGTGCTAGTTCTGCTTGTTGTTATCTTTATACATTTTTTTTCACTCTCAGAGCCCAAGTTTAATTAGAATGGTAGCCTTGCTAATAGCAATTCCTACAGCAGATATTCATTAAAAGTCCATAACGTTAATACACCAGAAAATTTCCAGGATAACTTTATTAGACTTTCCCTGTTAAGTTAATGGACTTTTAATGGATGTCCTAAGCAGACATGTCATTAACAAGAATATTACCAGACATGAATTAAAATATGCTCATTCATCAAAGTTAATTATCTGAAATTTCCTTTGATTTTTTTTTTTTAATGTCTGGCACTTTGAACAAGTTTGTACAGCAGTTTAAATGCAGCAACATGAAATGGAAATGGTGGAGGAAGGACTGTAGTGAAATGAAATGTAATGGAATCTATAAACTTTTCTGATCATCACATAATAAGCTATAAGTCATTTTCAGGTTATCAGAAAATTATACTTGAAAGCTTCCTTGAATAGATTTCAGCTTTTCCCCTGCCACTGAAACTGCTTATGCAGAGGTATAAAACCTAGGAGGGAAATGAGGCTTTTTAGCTTCCTGAGGTTTGGGTTTGAATTCAGTTCTTACAACATCTATCACATGTGGCTTTTAGCAAATCTTCAACAAGTTAAAATAAGACTTGCAATAAATACATGTTTTTACCAGAAAATTGAACATCTTGCCAGCTGGTGGTCTCGGGGAAGAGTATTTTAAAAATAAATTATTTATGAAGTGTAAGCTAAGGCTTTAATACAATATTTATGCAATGCACTTCAAGGACAGTGCAAAGCAATTTGCCATTTTAAGTAACAACATACATGTTTTAAATGATAAAGTAGCCATTAATAAAAAGGGCCTTTTGCTGTGATGGAAGCCTCATAACACTGATCTATATAAAGCTCAACATTCAGCAAGAGAAAAATCATTAATTTCCCATATCAGGCTGCCACGTTTGTTAAAACACAATGTTTACAAAATAAATCAGTAAGTTAACTTCTGTTGATAGGTGTTTCTTGCAAGATGTAAATGTTTTTTGTCGGTTGATGGTGAAAGGGTTTAGTTCCTTGGAAAATGGTGCTGATTTTCAGTAAATGAACACAGTATCCCTGGATGAGTTTTGGCTGGAATTGGAGAAGCACAGTCTGACCTCCAAACCGTAGGGCAGAACTTGAAGTTCCTGCAGAGCAAACACTTGTGCTCTCCTTGAGAAATCCTTTGGTTTTCACATTCTGGGGCTGATTCCCTCAGGTGTATCCAAAGCATAGGACAGTTTCTGTTTTGCATAATAATGCTGAAACCCAGCCTTAGGGAGAATATGTACTCATTTCCCTGACCATTTGTCTAACCTTGCCTTTTTCACAAAGGAAGATGTTGCATTCATTAAGTTTAGCTGTGTGATAAAATCACAGAATAGCAGGAGAGTGTCCTTCATTCCTGTGTCTCTGAAGAGGGAGTGAGGAGTTCCCTGTACCAATGTGGGAACCAGATAGCAACCACTTCATTCCTTTATCTCCTACACTGCACCTGCTGGAGTCTCTTGGAAGGATTTGGCTTCAGAAGGAAAAAAAAAGCCCCTCACTCCCTGCCCAGAAGCTGCTCCACAGTGTTGGGTGCTCTGGATGGGCATTGCTTTCTGCCACCCCATATCTTACCAGTGTCCCTGAACATGGGGAAATGGGAATGGTGACTTTGTTCCAATGAAAGTTTGGGGGATTTGATTTGTTTCAATGAGTGTTCAGTGTTAGATTTGGGAAGAGCACTCTAAATCAGCTCAGCTTTCCTCTACTGAATTTAAATCAATCAGTGGAGATCCACCTAATAGGGAAGTGATATCGAGCACTGGCCAAACTGCAGCTGGAATGGTCTTGGTTGGTGGAAGATTCCTTCCTACAGATCCCACAGCATTGACATTGGTAGTGAGGCACCATCCCTGCCCAGACCTCCTGCCAGAAGCCCTCAAGTGCCACAGGATCACACCTTGCACCACCTCAGTCAAGGTGTATTTGTAGTATTGCTCCAGAGTTCTGCCCCATAAGGGAATGGGCTCAGCTGCTGGAACTGCAGCCTGTCACCCAAAAGGAGGGAATTTGTGAGAGTACCTCATATGGGCAGTGTGTGCTTCCAGGAGGCACAGCAGAACTCACTCCAGCTGACAGGGAGGAATTTGAAGCAGTGGGTTTAGCTGGGTTGTGGATTAAGGAACTCGAACTTGTCAGATAACCCAGGTAGGAGTGGGTTGAAGGGAGATCGTACATGCTCAAACCCTCCTCCTAAAATGAAAACAAAACCAAAAACCTGACAGGTCTGAAGTCATTCTAGTGGAATTTCCTTTTCTGTTCTCAAGCTTGTCTAAGGCCGTGTCTGTCTGCTCAAGGTTTGTTTAGCTCAAATACAAGGGTGCATTTTAGTGCCTGCACGTTCCCCTTACAAAGACAGATAATGGCATTTTTCTCATGTATCTCTCCTAAAGATTAGCAGGCTTTGAATCATCATTTCTTTCTAACCAAAGCAAAATGTCACAAGATAAAATTAGCAAAAATTTCTTACTGTAACAAAAGTAAATACAGAGTTTAACAGTTTAAAAGAGGCAGAAAATACTTTTTTTTTTTTTTTAATCTCTAGTGAAATCATTATTGTTTCCAATCAGAGGGAACTATAGAATAGTTACAACTACATTGTTTTTTTTGGAAGTAGCTTTAACTTTCATGCCACTGGAAATACTTATGGAAATTACCTGAGAACAACTTCTTTAGTGGACATATTTCTTTATTCTGATAAAAACACTTTTAAACATCACTTTTTAAACTTCTTGCCCTTTGAAAATATATTTACTGTAATCAGAGTGGTGCTTGTGGTTCCAGGGAGTGCCCTCCTCTTGGTTTCAGTTTAACTTAACATATGACCTTGTTGATAAGGGAGAGCCTCACATCTGACCTTTAGGATCTTCCACAAACCTTTCCCACATCAAGGCGTGGGTTCATATCTGAAAATTCCCAGGCCTTTGACATTTTATGTTTCTCAGAGCAGACCAGCCTTTCAGGGAATCCACATAATAAGTTGTTTGTGGTCCCTTCTGTACACTGTGAATTTACTGATTAGGTTTGTGAAGGTAAAGTGTCTTATCTGGAGATACTACAAAATTTATTGATCCCATTAATTTGCCCAACAAGAGTAGAAGATGACTTGTGTTCAAAACCACTCTGAAAGTGTTGTGTGCTACAGGCATTAGCATTTATCTGCTGTGGTGGAAGCACACAATGAGTATCTCTTTGTGGTATTATAAAACCTAGAAGGACATTAACAATTCTGTTAAAATTTCATGTCCTATAGACCTCTTTAGGTATTGGAGTGTACGTTCCATTTGGAGGGAAATGCCTGATAAATTTTCACCACAGCTTTCTACTTCAGGGGCTACTTAAGGGACCAAATAATGATTTTTTTTTTTATGGAATGGTAATATTTTATACCATGTCTTTTTTGGGTCGAAGATGTTGAGCAGTGCAGGTACTGCACAATAGGTGTTACTGAGCTGGGGGGGATTTACTTTACAGCCCCAGCACTTTGCAACTGCAACTCTTCCCTTCATTCCAGGAATTTGGGGACTGCAGGCTTCATGTTTCATGTTCCTGGACACTTCTGAATGTCCTGAAAAGAAGGATCTATATAACTGGGAGACTAGATGTTGTTTCCTAATGCTGTTCCATTTGTAGAACTTATTAATAATTTGATAATGCAGAAAACATGTTATTTATAGGAATAGTTATATTCCTGCATGTACCAGTGTCTCCTTCCATATACAAAGCTAATAATGGTACTGCATATCTCACTTTTTACACTTAAATAGAGCCTGCTTAAGTTTTGTGTTTTGTCAGAAGTGGTCAGTTTTAATACTTGGAAGTTCTGTTCATTTATTTGCATTTAGGCTGAAAATGGGAGATTGAGTACAGGGTGGGAGAATTAAATAAGTGTTAACTTAATGCTACAGCATGTGAAGGGAATGGTCAATCCATTTGTTCTGCCAGTTTTCTACCTCTTCCACAGCCTTTGATGCCAGATGCTCTGGAGTATATGAGGGATTTCCTTGAAGGCTGATTTTTTTTCAGGTCAGATTGTAGCTGCCAGTTCTTCCTAAACCTGGATTGCAGCAGGAAGCTTTAAAATTCTCTGCAAATAGTAGAGAATAATAGGTAAAGGGATTCTCTTGAGATATACCTTTATCTGTCTTTCTTTGGTCTTTTGCTCTCCCCAGTAAATTACAACACATTAAAATTTCAAACAAAATTGAAAGGATGAATCAGAGGATATTTACACTTACATGCTGTCAAAATCCATGGAATTTACAAGTGAAGAGTGTTCCAAATATGCTAACA